CGCTAATAAGAACAGACAGCAATGCCGGCCCGCCATGACCAACTCACACTCACACACACATGCGCACAAGCAGATAGGAAGAGAGCGGTGGAGAGAGAGATAGAGACCCACAGACGAAACGCCGAAAACTACATGGCATTGTTGTTGTTGTTTCTGTTGCTGTTATTACTGTTTCTGCTGCTGCTGCTGTGCGTGCTGAGGAAAGATACCTCACTAATTAACCCAACAACAACAAAAATAAAAAGTAAAACAGGCAGCCAAAAGAATCAACCAACAACAACAGCAACAGCAACAACAACAAGAGAAGCAGCAACTCATTTGCAAATTGTGTCTTGCATGTTTGTGGATGTGATGGAGTGAGTTGGCATGCTGCTGTGCGAGCGGGAGAGTGCGATCGCATTCGCATTTAATTTTTTATTTTTTTGGGAACTGGTGAAAGGGCACGCAACGCTGTGGAGGGCTAACACCCATATGAGTTATGGTTAGCAAATCCAAAATCCAAAAAGTTGGCCAGCTAACAAAAAATGACGTCATTGGCCTAAAAAGTAATCCCAGCAGCAATTCAATGAACTAATCTCTTGTACTTACGTACGAGTGTGTGGGAAAGATTGGTGCCAAGTTTTGAATTCTGAACGGAACAGAACTAATTTTCCGGAGACAACCTCTGGAAACAAGAATGAGGCAAAAAATGGTGTTCCCAATATTTACAATCCATTTTTACAACTTTTTACGGCTTTAATTTATTAAAATTTTTTTATCGAAACAGAACTTGTTGTTAAATACAACGTTGATCAAAAAAATGGTTATTTCCGAACAGTTGAATAGTTTTGGACGCAATTTTCTAATGTTGATCGCTTTTTTTATAAAGCTAATGCTAAAGGTATGTCTTTAAAAGTGCTGCCAAATAGCAATAAAGTCTGATTTCTGCGCAGATTGTTTGCCATAATCTTAAAAATCTGGCCAAAATATGCAAATACATGACCAACCTTAAAACAAAAAATTTCCGTGGTGAGTCAAGACAACCGCCCTATCCCGATCTTTCTTATTTCGCAACACCCACAAGTTCTTATACACGCACACATCTATCCATCTATATGTATTTATACATAGTATGTATGTACATACAGTGAGGTATCTGTATTCCGCTGGATTATTGTTCAAGACTGTTAAGTAACCATCACCATCATGTTCATCATTCGGGTTTTGTTTATGCATGCTGTTTTGGCCCAAATTCTTAAAAGCTGACAGGCAACCCACAATTCCACAATTCCACCGTACAAGCAACATTCTGCTGCGGGTTGTTGCTGTTTTTGTAACTGCTTTCTGGGTAATCATTGTCATGCAGGCGATTCGGCTTCATTATATTTCGCCGGTTAGTGTCAGTGTTGCCAATTTGGCTATTTTCCCGCCGGCTCTGGAGTTATAAAAAAAAAAACGAAAAGGTGTTTCGAATTTTCTAAAGGTATTTTCACAGTAAAAGTGAAAGATCCTGTAATAAGAAGCTTTGTGAGTTTTTGTGTTCAATATAGTTCTTGGCAGATGGAAAGAATAATGCTGTTCTTAAAATACTAGCATATAAAGTAAAATGCTCTATGGACGGACACCCACCATAGCTGTATCCAGCTTTGGGAGTTTTAACGTTTATATTGGAATAACAAAATATAGACGTGGTTAATATTCATGAAATTCCTTTTTGATTCCGTCTCTCTTGATAAATTGAAAGCTTTTGTTGTACCCTAAAGCCAGTAAAAGAAGTGTAGATATGTACAAATAATAATACCGATCTTGGTATACTAACATTTAAGTGACTTGCTTCATAGCCAAACACCCGACGTAGCGCGGTATTTGTCCAAGTTTTAATAGATCTACACCTTAAAGAACAATAAAATGTAGCCGGAGCTAATAGTTTTGGAATTCCCGTTTGATTTTGAGAGTCCGATAATCTATCAGAGCATTATATAAATGGAATTTCTCTAAATACCGAACGAATTCGTGCCGTCTAAGACAATGTAAACATTAAAATAATATCCTTAAATACATGTTTTTTATGAACAGTCAGTGCCAGATTTATAGATTTAGGCTTCATTCTATCGGCACAAATCTGATATCAAGAAATCTAGTAAATCGTTCTTTAGTCTTAGCTCTTCAAGAGTTTTCTTATATATTGATAATTTGTACAGCTTTTTCTGGCTTTTTTTGAGTCAACACTGGTTATTGTTGCCTCTATACTTATTGTAGTTGTTGTGATGCCTCGTACCCACGCTCCCACTTGATGGCAATCGTAATGAGCTTCAGCGCGCTTTAAGCTTTACGTTCTGCTGCCTGATCATCATTATGAGCATTGCGATCATCATTATAATGATCATTATCGGCCACATCAACATCGTATAAATGTAATCGTGATGATGATTTTTTGGAAGATGCTGCCCCATTGGCGTTTAGTTTGTTGGTCACGCCGCGGTTTTTTTTTTGGATAAACTCTGCTTCTTTTTGTTTTGTTTTCTGCGCCTTTTCGTTTTCATTGTTGTTGCTGTTGGTGTTTGCTTAACCAATATTTTGTTGCTGCTCGATAATGAAAGGAAAGCAAAACAACCGAACGAACAAGCGAACGCAAAGTGCCCGAAACCAACAAAAGTTTATACATAAGTAATCATCAAGAGTGAATCTGCTTGACTGGGACTTGGACTTGGTCTTGGTCTTGGGTTGGTGAAATTGTTCTTGTTGTTGCTGTTGTGGGGGCATTCATTACATTGCGTCTGTTTTTTGCGGTTAGGCTCATGGATGACGTGCCCGTTGGCTCGCCTTCTTGCTTGCTTTCTTCTTTCTTTCTGGGGATTTCATAATATTTGCTCTCGTGTGTGTGTGCATGTGTATGTGTGTGTGCGTGTGTGCCCGGTACAGGTGTGCGACCCACTTAGGTTGCGTCTGCATGAGAATTTCTGAAAAGTTAATGAATGATGCGCAGTCTTGTTTCTCGGAAACGATGTCCATGTTGTTAAATTGCTTAAATATCGTTGTTATTCGCTTACAATCTCACTAACTAAGCCGCAGAGTCGGTCATCAATTTAGGGGCTGCCCTAAAAGTATGCAATGCAATTTTTAGTTCTCCAATATTCTAGGAAGAACTTTTTTTTTTGGAATTTATTAAAAGAACAAACACATTTCGGGGCGTCTTCAAATAAATTAATGCACCATTGATGGAAAATTTCAAAACTCTAAACAAAGAAAGGTTTATAAAGAAATTGATCATGATGGCGATTTACAGAAGAAATTGTACAAATCAAAACATCAACTTTAAATTATAAATTAATTGAAAGAATTTATGCTGCATTTATGACACTCGAATATTAAAATTTAAACTGAAAACATTTCTGAAGCTAGAAATATTTTAGATCAGTTGTAAATTAAGTTTATCAAAAGTTCGTGCGATATTAAACTTTAACTCAATAACAAATTGCGAATACACCAATGGTATCGACGAAATTGCTTAATAGGAATAATAAGCTTTACTTCAAGAAATTACTTCCAATAAATTATATCCAAAATTATTAATAAGAAATAAGAAAAAACGATCACGTTTGGAAATCTTCAAATTACCAGTCAAATTTAAGCCAGCTGCAAAATTCCTAAGCAAAATAAGTTAATATATTAGTTTCTCCTAAAAGTATGCAACGAGTTTTAAGTCTGACATAAAAATCAGCTAATCATAAGCGGAAGCTATCTTAAAAAATTGGGAATTATGTTTCCTATTAAACTTAATGTATGGGTTACAAAAAACAAGTTAAAAGACCGATCGCTTTTCATAATATTTAAAAAATATAAGTCATTCATAATTATTCTTACATCTGAGTGCTATATTTGAATGCTCACTGTAAAAACATTTCAGGCGACTGTGTTTAATTAGTTTGAACAGCAACAGCAAACAAACCAAGGAAGCCATAAACCATGAAGACAAACAAGTATATAAATATGTATACATATATTGTATGTACATACTATATGTACGGTTGTCTTTGCTACTACGCTGATAAGCGTTGTCGGAAATTGGGCTCGGCATTTGGTGTCCCCAGCTGGAAATAAAACCATTCACTTAAATGTGTCGCATAAACTAATTGAGAGGCGCGTACCAGCCTCATGGCTGACAAGGAACAAAGCGCTGTGGGAGAAAGGAGTGCCCACAATCATTGTGTCAGTTTTTCCTGAAATAGATAGAATTACGACCTGCATAGTACATACAAACTACATTTATATAAAGCAGATATTTTAGATGTTAATGGCTTTCAATTAATAGACAATATAGTGGAAAAACTATTACGCCTGTTCCAATTCCGAATAACATCAAATTTGCAAATATATGTGGATGTGGCTAAATTCTATGATTTGTACAAAAGGAGCCAATTCACTACCAGTTTTTAATTAAATGCGAGAAGCTGAAAAAGGCACCTGATATTGGCAGAACTAATCATTAAGCTATAGTTGTATAGTTGTAATTTCAATAAGTTTTTCGTTGCTTTTTACCTCATAACTTTTCCTTAATTACGCGTCTCTATATATAGCAAATGTCTTCTTTGGCGACAAAAAAAGCCTAAATTTAAAACAAAAGGAAACTTTTAACAGGAAATATTTATTATTGATATGTTGCAATTCTCTTATATACTTCAATGAATATATTTATATAAATTAATATGTACTCGTATATAAACGCAAAAATAATAAAACTGATTTATTATAAGAAAATTACTTTGGAGCCCATTGTAACTGCCCCAAATGCGCTGCCCACGTTGAGCAACATTTCTGCTCTCTCTGACTGTTCACGTACGCTCTGCTTTCTCTCTCTGAGCACAAAAGCTTAGAACGGAACAACTGTTGAAGGCGTCGTGTGCCGTCGTCATCGTCGTCGCCGTCGCGTGTTTTGGAATCAACAATTCAATTTCAAATGCTCCGCCAAACGTTTTAGTCGAAAGCACGCGTGCACACAATTTTTAGTTGCTCCACAAACTGAAGGGCAAAATTCATTTCAAAATTCTTGAAAAAGAAGAACAGTGAATACGATTTTAAAGTGCGTGCCAAATTAAACCTACTATCAACCAACTCACCAAAGACTTAGAATATTTAAATAACCGCCAAACAATGGAACGCATTTTGAGGGGCATTATGCGATATCGTAATACGACTCGCGAACAAATGGTCAAAGAATTTCAAAAAGTGCGCGATAATCCGGAGGTGAGTTTCATGCCGTGCTGGAAGGTCATGGAAAATTTGCGAACCCAAAAAGCTAAGCAAGGCGAGATTTGACATTGAATGAACGCACATTTATAAGTATACATACATACATACTTAGCAATCTATTTAGTGGCACTATATTATGAGGCATCGAAGCATGCCTTATGAATCGCATTGTTGTTGATGTTGTTGCTATTAATTGTTTGTTGTTGGAGTGTCTGTGTATTATCACGTTAGTTTTTTAATGACAGCCAGACGCTTCCATGTCTGCGCGCGCTCGCTCTCTCCCTCTCTCTTTCTCTCTGACACTCTGCTAGCCCCAAATGCAGCGCCATTCATTGTTGTTGTTGCTTTTGCACTTTGCACAAACGTCAAAATGCGTCATATACTTACTATTCAGTGTTGCCAACTTAGCCATTTTCCGGCTAGTTCTGGAATACTTCTAATGTCGAATGCGGAAAAATGGGTAAAATATCAGCTAGCGGGAAATGAAACGTTTCTATTACAACGCAAATACTCTATTGTTTTAAATGTTTAAAATTAGTATGTAGACTAAACACGAGCTTATATTTTTTAATAATAATGAATAATATTAGTGAAATAAATTAATATTTGTTAATTAATTATTAATTAATATAAAAAGGAATTTATTAGGAAGAATAAGGTAGTGCCCAAAATAGAACTAACGGAAATATTTTTAATATTAGATCTTTAAAAATAGCATTTTCTAGCCTAAGCTCAAGCTATGGCAACACTACGTACATACATACATACATATGTACATGCATGGAGTGCAAGGTAAGCGTCTGCAGCTTTTCTAGAGCGTGCTGGCAGCGTCGCCCCAACATGTCATCGCTCTCTTGCTCTTTGCTCTCCACGCTGGACGCACGTTTTTTTTTGTTGTTGTTGTTGGCCGGCACACATTTTTTGCTTTAAGTAAACAAACAACAAAGAATCACAAACCGGTTGAAGTTTTTTGCATCGTTTATAAAAAGTGCGAGCTTTTTTTATAACTTGCTAATTTGTTAATGGAAAGCAAATGTTACACCTTTCATTGTGAGTCATGTAATAATCTCAATTATTGTTGAACGTCCTTCAACCCTTCAACACACTGGCTGTGGACAGAATCGAGTGCTTTGGCAAACTGCCAAATGGGCTGAATAAAAAATGAAATTGAATATTTCTTTTTTTTTATCTAAGGGAACAAATATTTGTAAATACGTAAACGTAAACTCTTTTGTGCTTATCATCCACAGCCGAAGGCCGTATTTTTCACCTGTATGGACAGCCGAATGATACCCACACGCTACACGGACACCCATGTCGGAGACATGTTTGTGGGTGTGTTAAACATACTTAATCTAGTATCAGCAAATCAAATATTTAACACTTGCATGCTTTCCCACAACAGTTCGTAATGCCGGCAATCTGATACCGCATGCCCAACATTTCCAGGACGAGTACTTTAGCTGTGAACCCGCGGCCCTAGAACTCGGCTGCGTGGTCAACGATATTAGACACATAATTGTATGCGGACATAGCGATTGTAAGGCCATGAATTTGCTTTATCAGCTCCGAGATCCCGAGTTTGCCTCAAAGGTGAGTTGAATGTCAATGTTTTAATATTATTATAATCAACAGTTGAACTTCCCTGCGACGAACTCAAAAAAGCATTACAATTTATTTTAAATATATACAAAATCATTGCAAAGTTCAACGATATTGAGACATTTAATCATTAATCATAAAAACCGTTGTTAAGTTGTTGGCTATAAAATAAAAAATTCTATTTTAAATAAATCAGTAATCTCAGACATTTTTACTGATTTCCAGAATAGTGATTAGAAAAGCGTTTTGGGTCAATTATTGATTGAAACTTCAAAAGAAATCTGTATATGTAAATCTAAATTAATCTACACAAATATTGGAAATGGTTCTTGATTTGTTTTTTATTTAATATATAGTATGCATTCAATTTTGAGAGACTTGAAGACAAATCTATAACTCAATTAGAATGAAATATGTTTGTTATAAAGTCAGATCAAATCTGAAATAAAATACACATAAAAAAACTATAGTTTTTTAAACTTACCAAAATGTGCATAATATAGGCAGGAAAGAGGTTGTTGATTCGCCTATTAGTGAGGTGTTTTGGCTCTATAAAAATCAAGAAGCAATTTTTTTATAGCTATTTTGTGCTTACATTTTTTGGGAAAATCTCAAAAAATCGATTATTCAATTCACTTTAAATCGTTCTAAATATTATCTCCCCGAAAACCTATCTAAAATTTCAATTTTAAACTTAATAGACTTGGAAATATATAAATTTCAAAAACAAACGAGCAGATCATTCGATCTGACACTGAAATATTTGAATATTCTTTTCATTCCACGCTCGAGGCTCCACAACCCAAAACGAGTAATTAATAAATTTTTCACTACGTTCTCCCTAGAAGAGTGTTAAATATTCAGTAGCGGCTATAGTATACTATATTGATATTGTCTGCCTAAGCTTGAAAGACAAGTTTATATTCCTGCATATACTTGTAAACAGCAAGTATACCTTTTTTAGACCATTACTGTCCGCCAGCTCGTCGTAGAGATGTTCTACTGTAGAATTGAAATTGCTATTACATTTAATTTTCTGCTTATCACCCACAGCTGAATCGGCGACTATCGCCGCTGCGCTCCTGGATGTGCACGCACGCGAATACAAGTCTGAAGAAATTCGAGGAATGGCGTGATGCTGGTATGAAGGATCCATTACTGTTCTCCTCAGAAACGCCGTTACGGCGCTTTGTGGCGTACATAGACCCGGAGAATAAGTTTGCAGTCGAAGACAAATTATCGCAAATCAACACGCTTGAACAAATGTCGAATGTTGCTTCGTATGGCTTCCTAAAGGCGCGTCTCGAGTCCCATGATTTGCACATACACGCGCTGTGGTTCGACATATATACGGGCGATATCTATTACTTTAGTCGGGGGGCCAAGCGTTTTGTTGCCGTTGATGAGAGCAGCTTCGAACGTTTGTCCTCAGAAGTGAGACGTTTCTACTCATAGGAAGGTGGCAGCCTTTGGAAAACGATCTGTCTGTGATATGTGCAACAAATTTTAGGCCTTATTTTTAGCAAATGAAAAAGCATTTACAAAATATTTAGCATAAAATATGTCTAGCTCTTTGTAATTATAAATGTTTGTTTTTTACATATTTGTATATTGATTTGTTGATTGATTGTTTATGAACCTAAGGCTAAGAAGGTTTTTTGAAGAATGCTTATAAATGTAGAACAAAATCAACGTTTAACGAGGCGTTACATTATGGGAAGCAATGAGACTTTTTTGTACGCTCGGAGCGCTTCGATGTCTGTGCAATAACAAACCGTTTGTCTTTTTAACAAAACATTTAAAATTATAAAATAATATATAATAAAACGTAAAACGTAAAACTTAACGACCATCAAGGCAATGCTCCAAGGCCCACCATCAGTGGTATTTGTGATTATTATGATTCATGGCAATGCTATTCGGATTCTCCAGCTCCTCAAAGTACTTGCGCGCATTCCTAATATTCACAAGTGTCGCCTCCGACGGCAGCGTTGGATCGGACATAACGACCATTACGTATGTGTTGCTCGTGAAGGTATCTATGAAGGCGGCAAAGGCATTGTTTCGCACCTCCATTGATTGAAATTTGGCGCCCAGCTTCGAACAGCTGAGTTTGAATTGCTTTATAATGTTGGACACCTTTTCGAATCTGTGCGAGTCACGATTCTTTTTGCTCTGACAGTGTGAGATGACCAGAAAGGTTGCCTTCTCGAAGAGCATCACTTCGTCGGCTTCGATCACATTGGCAAAGTATGTCAGCGAGTTTTCGAGTGCCGCTACATTCGGTATCAACATCGTCACTATGGAAGACCAAGCTCTGTGAAGAGTGAAGAGACAGCTTAAGGGTTTAACAAAATGTAAACTCATTTGCAGGACTTACTTGTAGAGTGTCTCATCCCAGATGCTGGTGCGGAAGCAGGTTACATTGCCGGGCTTAGACAGACGTACTAAATCCTCTTCGCGCTCTTTGAACACATTCTCGCGGTGCTCCTCAGCTACCAAATCCATTTTGTGCACCAGACAAAAGATTTTGGCATCCGGCGAGTTCTGCAGCAACGCCTCCAAACAGGACTGATAATAATGCACATCCCGCTCCATTTCCTGGCTCTCCACATCGAACACATATATTAGCACCTCTACATTGCGAAATATGTTGTCCCGCTGCGTGCCAAAGTACTGTTTCATGAAGCCCTCCTGACCGCCACAGTCCCACAGATTTAGCACCAGGTTGCCCAGAAAGCGCACATGCGAGTGCTCCACATCGACTAAAAAGGATATTCACAATAAGGAAGAGCCTTTGACAAAATAATAATTATATTTGACTCACTTGTTGCTCCGAGACGCGTCGTATCTCTGGCTATATAGTTGGCAAAGATAATGGAGCGCATGCTGGTCTTGCCGGAGCCACTTTTGCCCATGAGTAGCACCTGCCATGCGAATAAATGACATCATAGAATTAACGCCTCAAATGATAAAACATTTGATAATGATAAAAGCTATATATGCATGTATGGAAATTTATTTTTGTTTCATTGCAAAAGTTCACGGGCAAGGTCCAAATATGTAGAACGAGAAAATGCGCATTTGAGGGATCACACTTCGCAGGATCAGTTCTAAGCACCAACAAACAAGTTCTGTACGTGTGCATGTGTGTGTGGTTGTGAATTTATGACACACACACACACAAACTCCAGCTGGGCTGTTGTTATTATTTCGGAATGAAAGGTGGGACCCGCACATATATGTATGTATGTATAAAGTGCGTGTATCAAAAACACTTTATCGCGTCAATACATGACGTGTCTAGCGGTAACACACAACTTGCCTTCTTCTTCATTATGTTTTTTGATTTATTCAACTGCTACTTTTAGTTTTATGGCTCCACTTCTGATGCAGATGCTCCACAAACAACAAAATAAAAGGTTGGGCGTATCAAAGCGCCGCATCTGGTAACGCTAAAAATTGGTGCTGTAAATAAATAATAGTGCTGCAAAACGGTATTAATAAGTTCGAACAGGGTAGCACTTTGCCGAAACGAAAACGAAAGCTCGTTGCTATAACAGCGGGTTACGAATAGCGCGCAGGTTGATTTGTTTGAAAACAAATATAGAATTTAAGCTGAAGAAAATTAAATTGAAAAATTATAAAACTTTAAAAATTAAAAATGTTTGCGTTAGTTTGAAACTTACATAAGTTTTTTATTAAATATTATTAGGTTTTTCTCTTTACTTTGTATAATTATTTATTGTTTATTTTTTTTAAATTATTTTAACAAGAACTTATTTGATATTGCAACCGGTATTTAATTGGTATTTATACATTTTTTAATTGGTATAACAAAGTCAATTTTAATTGAACAACTGTAGTATGAAGCATATAAAACTATTAGAAGCACCTTTAAAGATCAGTTGATAGCAACTCGCTGCGCAGGCAAAATGTCCAAGCTGCAAATTTTATTCATAGTGCCATACTTCTTATATAGTGGCGTGAATTGTATAGAAAATGAAATGCAATTAAAGGTGACATATTCCGGAAAATATGGCATACAAACTAAGTAAAAATTTGTCTATAAAATAGCCTTTGGATATCACAGTACTCTATTCTTCGCTTTGTCCGGACAGCAGGGATTTCATTAAAGATGAATTTTTGCCAGTTTTTGGGGAATTCCAAAATTACATTCATCTAACTTTGGTGCCATTCGGCAAAAGCAGAGTAAGTGCCGATATTCAATGATTTTTAAATGGTACAAGTATATTTTTATTTGCAGCGCAATGGTGCTGACTATGAGTGCCAGCATGGACCCGAGGAGTGTAAGGGAAATCTTTTGCAGGACTGTGCTTTGCATGCAACGAAGTCATCGTACTTGCAACTTAAGTACGTTGCCTGTCAGCTCGAAAACTTTAATAACACAACCGATCATCGCGTGAGTTTGCCGAAACATTGAGACATTTATTTTAATTTATAAAATTTTTGAATAAAATATGCTTGGCAGTGCATTAACATGCTCGGACTGGAAGAATCGGTGGAAGCGTGCCTGCAGAGTTACGAACAAAGCCACAAGTATCAGGAAATATCAGCTAAAATAACGCAGAGCTATATGTTTGAGGAAATACCAGCGATTATTTTTAATAATGTAAAGTTATAATATTTATCTTCAAAGTTAATACTAAACTGTTTTCGATGTATAGGTTTTTGAAGGGGACTTACAGCAGCTCGCACGTACTAATATACGCGCCACAATTTGCAAAAAATTAATGGAAAGACAAAGTTTGCAGCCTGTTTTTGCCAGCCCTGGAAATTCACCGTTAAATTGTAGTTACATGGTAGTGTGAAAATTTCTTATCACTCGTCGCAGACGTACATTTTATTTCAGTTAAAAATGCAGAACAATTCCAAAACCATGTTTGCGCGTAACTTGAACTTCCTTTTGCTTTCATTGCTCATTTTTATGATCGTAATGTGCTTCAAACATCTCAGTCATTGGAATAAATTGTGCGGTGTGAAGGAGGTGGCTAAAGGACCAACGATCCCGAACTTACATTCCGTGAAGCCTGAAGCGAAAACCATGAAACGAAAGGCAAGCATTTTAAATAATTATACTAGAATAGGTATAGTCGTGCTTATTTGTTTAACTATTCGTTAATTTACTCTCAACTAAGGAAATGTCATTTGATGTAAGTTATAATATGTTAATGATTAAAAGAATTTTTAGAGAAATATTTAAATTAGAGTGACAAACTATTTACTATATACCACTAATAAGAGTAAGAAATGTGCCAATGAAAAAGTGCTGTGTGTGTGATACGATCAGGCGTTTAATTGTTTTGGCCACTAGCATTATAATTCACGAATTCATTGTTTGACTTTAATTCCTTAAACTACAACATTTTAAATTCAATTTAAATATCGATTGCTCGATAACGCTGCTTGCGATCGATCCTAAGGACAAGTGTTAAAAATGTGAGAGCTGGCAGATGACACGCCACTGTAGCGTAAATTTATTTTTGTGAATGTAACGGTTTTCAACGCGGAAGTACATAGGTAGCCAATGTTGAGAGAATAAGAGAGTGTGTAGAAGAGGGAGAGAGTGTGTGAGAGAGGGGGCCCCGGCGGCACTGAGACAATAAGGCGCATAAGAAAAAGCTTAATGTCACCCTCACGGGCGCTTAATGAACGGTAAACACAACATGCATATAGGATGAGTGTGTGTGGGTTTGCGGTCGTGTCTGTATGGGTTTATAGGTTTGTACGTTATTTTTGGGCTCTTGTGAGCGAGCGGCAGCCTTCTTTTGTTATTGGAATTTTCAAAAAAGTTGTAAAAAACTGAGCTGACAAAAAAACCGGCTTAAAGTGAGAATGACATGGTAAACACACATACATACATATGTATATGTGTGTGGGTATGTCGTATATGTATGCCTATGTACGTATGTATGTGCATTAATGTGCACATGTAAATACATACATATGTATGCATGTATGTATGTATTTATGTGCGTTCGCAGCTGTGTTGCTTTGTCGGCTGACGCTGACCGAAAAAGCCCGACAAGCACAACAAAACTAAATTCAGTTGTTAAACTAAAATTGAATTTGTCGGTCGCACAACATTTAAGCCAAGCGAACGCTTTATTTGTGCTTTTCTGTGTGTTTTGTAACGGTTGCCACGCGTTTAGAACACGTTATCAGCTGAAAATCCCAATTGCCAGTGCCGTTGCAAAATGTTACGTTCTCCCCTCGTCCTTGGTATCATCACTCTATTGTTGATGTTCCATAATTTCCCAACATCATCGGTGGCCTTGCGGGTCTCACGTCAGCTTAGCGGCGATAGGGTGCGTTGGCCTTTGGCTTTAGCCACTAGACATTAATTTAGCTGCCTGTCGTTTCGTTCCGTTCCGTCCCTCCTAGCTGCACATCACGATACTCTACGAGTCCTTGTGTCCGGACAGTCGGCGTTTCATGCGTCAGCTGGGACCCGTGCATGACGAACTGAAGGACTATGTGGACATACTTCTGGTGCCTTTCGGCAAGTCCTACGTAAGTAACATTACTATCCTAATATCCACATAAAGTTCGAACACCTACTTGATTACAGTCCCAGCAAAATGGCGCCATTTTCCACTGCCAGCACGGACCGGACGAGTGCTTGGGGAACCGCTTGCAGAGCTGCGTTCTCAGCACCACCACCGATCAGGGCGCTCAAGTGAAGTTTGCGGTTTGCCAAATGCTATCGTCAGAGTTCGATAAAATTGAAACTGTGAGTATATTCCCATTTTACTATACGAGCATCTTTTTAAAGTATTACACACGAATTGTGAGTCTTTTAGTTTTAAATTATTTTTCATAAAGCGTTAGCGAAAAACCCCAAATTGAAATTTCCATTCCCAACAATTTAGGCCTCAAATCATACTAATTTACTTGTATAATTTATTTCGCGATGAACTAATTAAAAGTTAAAATTGTTGTTAAATAAAATATTTTGTACATATATGGCAGCTCATCAGAATTTTTACCCAGATAGTTTTTATATAATTAAGATTTAAACTTAATGCATAACTTTTTGCTTTTTGTAAAGTAAATATTCCATTTTAAATAAATAAAAATACATCAATTATATTTTAGTTATTAAATAAAAGTTAGGAAATTTTTTTATAGAAACATTTTTAATTCATGTCTACCCATTTAGGAATATTTTGTGTATTATATGAAATATCTTTAGGTAATGTCTTAGAGATATTATTTTAAAGTAATTTTATAATAGGGATACTTTTTAATCGCTAAAGAAAATCTCACATTTTTTAACTTTTTGCATAGATAACTTTCGGTTATATTCTTATGCTTTCTTAGACGAGTCGTAATATTTAATAAACAGTTTGAGCAATTTGTTCAGTAATAATTATTATTGCAATTTTTTATTGCAAGTGTGCCATTGGTGCCGGCCTCTCCCCCAATATAAAGCAATGTGCGGAGACTTCGGTGGGAACTGCACTGCAATTGGAAGCGGAGAGAATTACCAATTTGTACAAACCCAAGTTTATACCCACAATCGTCTACAACGGCGTAAGTAGCACATGAAATGATTGCGAAATAATTAAAAGTAAAACTGGCATTCAACTGGTTTACGTTTTCCCAACAGGTCTTCAGTCAGGAGTTGCAAGATAAATCGCTGCGTAATTTCCGCGGAACAGTGTGCAATTTGTTATTACAACTGAATAAGCTAAGCCCCAAATATTCGAGAGTCTGTCAGTAAAGCGATCCTTGCCACCCCATTTATGGAAGCCCAAATTTCAGAGCTTTTGAAAATGTAAGCCCAGCAATAAAATGATTTAAGTGCACATTTGAAAAGGGTTAAGCATCTTTGTATTTCTTTCAAGAAATAATTGTAAACCAAAGGTAAGTTTAGCGAAGACCGATTCGTGCAAAGTGTTGACGCATTTTGGAAATTGTTAGGAGCTTATTGCTGGACTAGGCATATTTTTAAAAGAGCATTTCACTGTAGGACAGCAACACAGCTTGGAACTATATGACTGGCAATCGACCATAGAAATTTGTGTTTATTTATGCCCGCCCGGTATTTCTCGAGTGAGTGTAATATTATTTCTACGGCGCCGGCGCCGTCGGTATGAGCGTTTAAAGATCATCGTTTAAAGATACTCATATATATTTCAAATGTAATTTAGAAGGCTTAAGAGCAAGCATTTCGAAATTCGTAACACTCTATGCAAAGAAAAAAGCGCAACTTCTATTTGCAAATCCCTGCTTTTGTATTCATTTAGAAAATAACACAACACTTGTTTTCAAATTAATCGCATATATTTTCCATATAATAATTTATATATTTTTTAAGATTTAAGATACAATTCATGGAATATGCATTCATGCAGTGCTTAGGCGTCTACTTTTTACAGCATATAATATATATGGATTTGTTTGTATGTTTGTTGTGAGAACTAAATTCATTTTGGAGGGTGATGGTGATGTAAAAGGGGCAGGGAGTGAAAACAATAGTGTAATATAATATATAATATCGTTTAGCATTTTGTGCGACACACAAACCAACAACAAATGACTTAAAAGAAAAAAAATGCTCATAATAATGTGTATATTAATATGCATAACTTAAAACTAACAATTAACTACAATTATAAACGCGCCTGTTACCCATTTGTTGTGCTGCCGTCGGACTAATTCATGTTTTTGTGGTGTATAGCTACAACTATTTACAAGAGCCTGCCGCAGGTGCGTATAAAGCTATGGGCGGACAGACAAATAATTTGCACACAAATTTGTCTTATCTTACATGCAGGCTTTAAAAAATAAAGGCCCATATGTTTGTGCTCATTATTTGCGCGTCTGAACAACGATCAGACATGCAATTAGTTCACACAACAAATTTGTGCAAATTCCAACAAAGTTTCTTGTTAGGCGACAAAGCTGTGTGCAAATTATTTTTTTCGAAAATTCTTGCAAAACAAATAACAATGTGTGTATAGTATATTTATAAAGCATACTTTCGGGCGCACGGCTTAAACCGCAGTGCCCGTCGCGCTCTTCGTGAGCGAGCGACGCGGCATGGGCTTTGGCGGCAATTGTGGTTTGCTCATTGCTGGGCCTTGTGCTGTTGTTGGTGGTGTTGTGGGGATTGCTGTGCCAGCACGCTCTCTCTCCTGGTACTCCACATAGCCGCTCTCATCACTGCACTCCGAGTCGTCGGTCTCATTGCCATTGTCGCGTTGTTGTTGCTTGCGAGTCCGCTTTACAGTGCGACCGCTGTTCGCGGTCCCGTTACCCACCATCACAACATCGAGGCCATTGAGAGAGCTGGCGGGAGATGTGTTCAGCTTCAGCGTAATGGAGCTGGAGCTGCTGTAGTTGGTGGCGTCACTGTTGTTCCGCAACTCCAGTCTTTGGTACATGATCTCCGCTAGCACCTGCTCGTTGTTGCTGTCCTCCAGGGCGCTAGATATGCTCAGCCGTTGCTTGTATTTGTGGGCCAACTCCTCGTGGTTGGCATTTGTGACTGTGCTGGCCGTTTCGCAGCCGCTGGAAATGGAACCCTCATCGCTATCCAAGCCATGCAGTTTCTGTGCGTTGCTCTCATTCGCCACTGCTGCGCTGCCCTCCTGAGCCGCACTGAGCGCTGCGTTTACCGCCGCGTGGGAGCCACTGCTGCTGCTGGTGGTGCTGCACGAGGCATTGCTGGAGATGCTGGACTGCTGCTGATGACGATATTGGTGTTGAGCGTATTGGGCACCTGTCGTCTCCAGACTGCTGCCGCACTCGTCGCTGCTCAGCCCCAGATTTGTGTTCATCTTGCGCATCGAGTTGCGATGCAACATGTTGAGGAGCGCGGCCTGCCTGAAATAATGATCCTCGGCATCATCCAGATAGTCCTCTTCCTCGCCATCGCTGCAGATGCCGTTGCGTCGCAATGAGACGCCCAACTCTTCGGTGTCATAATCAGCCTGCGGATCGGCACTGGGATCGCTGTTGATGGTCGGCAGCAGGCTGAGCGGCTGCTCTTCATCGTACTCGCTCTCGTCCTGCGGCAGCTGCTGCTTCAGCTCGCTGAGACTGCCCAGACTCTGACTGTTGTTCTTGTGCAGCTGCATGTCGAAGTAGGGCAGCAGCTCGGTGCTAAGCGTTGTGCTGGTATCGTAGTCATTGAACTTGAGCAGCTTCTCGAAATCGTCCGAATCGGAGCCGTCCGAGGCGGGTGTAAGTGGCACCGCCGACGCAGCTGCCACAGGCTCTGTCTTTGCCGGCTGACTATTGGCAGAGGCAACAACAGTTGGCTGATGCTGACAGCAGCCGACCGACTGGATTTTGCCGGTGCGTCTGATGGAGTGACCGCGTCGGCAACGTCTACGACCCAGCGTCATGGCCGGATAGAGGGAGTCACGTTGACAGCAGGATTTCATCTCTGGCTCATTGGTATCCTCAATTTCATCGCCCTCCTCCTCGCCAATGGCCTCCTCGATGGCCATCAGTTTCGGCGCCGACTTGGAACGCTCCAGTGGTGGTCGATAGTTGTTGCCGCCCACGCTCAACATGATCTTGCGACGCGGCAAACTGGGATTGTCGTACACCGCATTGGCCAGACTGAGACGCGCATTTTGCTTGAGAATTTTCTCGCGTTTAAATTCACGCAAAGCGCTCTCCAGATTTTCCTGCAAGTAGAAGAAGATGTTCGATAAATATGGAACTCCATTGAGTCTCTATATGAGTCCGACGAGGGAGGTAAGACTTCTTAATCTTCTCAAATTAAGTACAGTAAGGCGATGGATAACTCGCAGTCTTATTTTCGAAATACACAGTAAGATATGTATTTATTAAGTAACGCCATTCAAATCTTCAAAATGCTTATTTGGATCGTTTGCCTATGGGTTATCTACTACTATATAATCATAGCTCTTATCTTGCTACTTACTCTCAATGTATCGCTTATATCCTGCGCAATCTTCTCCTTGCTGCAGAGCACCGCATGGCAGCGCAGCTCGTGCTTGAGCTTGCGACCCTCATGTCTGTAGATCCAGCAGAAGACTCGCGGATAGTTCTTTGGCGCACAGCAATAGGTAATGCGATTGGCCCAGTACTCGGTGAGACCGTGTTGTCGGGTGGTCGCCTTCAGACCCGAGGCACACACCTTGATGCGCATTATGACATCCGGCTTGGTGTGCTGCGTATAATTCCGCCACAGCGTATTCAGCTGCTTCTCCACGCAACCTTCACCTGCTGGAAGTTGACTATCAGTATGGAGGTCCTTTACTATGCTTGGAAAGCAACTCAGACTTACCCTTGGCCCAGCCAGTGAGCACATTCCCCAGGTAGGAGACCTTAAACTCCGGATCAGGCGTGCTTATGTCCACACTGTGGGTGCGCTTCCACCAGAGCTTACCGAGTCCGCGACTCAGGGTACGCATAGCCTTGACACTCAGATCATCGTTCTGTAGCAGCTCCCGGGCCACATGCTCGTTCCGACTGCCCCCATACAGATCCCGGGAATCGGTGGTCAGGGTGACCATGTTGGTGACTGTGACGGTATCATCGCTGCCCGCTATGTCCCCATCCTCCTTGGACATGCGCTTAAAGCGTTCCAGGTAAGGAGCGCTGCCTCCATGTCGACGTCCCCCGAACGTGTTAAACTTCCCGCTGGCCTCGTTGGCGAGCCGCTTCTGTTCCTGCTTCTCGAACTTTTTGGCATTGTAGGTATTGCCGAGCAATCTGGCGATGCTGTTGCTCTTCACAAACTTGTGCGTCCGTGGGGGCGTACCGATCGGCACCAGCGGCGCCGGCGGCAGCAGCAGCACATTTGTTATGTGCGGCGTGGATTTGGAGGGCATGGTCGACGACTCTGACGTTGCTTGTGACTTGTTCGCCTTTTTGCCAAATGTGAAAAGGGTTCGACGTCCTTTTGACTTTTTCAGTGTGTTGGTGTTGTTGTTGTTGTTGTTGGTGGCATTTGGTTCGTTGTTTGGTATCGCTTTGCGCACTGCATTTGTGTTGTTGGTTGTGGCAACAGTTTTGTTGTTGCTAATTACCAAGTTGCTGATGCTATAATCATCGTAATCGTTGTTGTTGTTGTTATTATTATTGTTGTTGTGCGTGGCTACAAAATCAACTTCATCGCAACTCTCTGTCGATGTCGTGACTTTGTTGTTGTTGGCTGCCATATTGCAATTTGTATTTGCGTGTGTGTGTGTGTGTGTGGGATTTGGTTAATCGTTGGTGTTACCGCTTCAATATCCGCTCGCAATTGGCTCTGATATTGTCATCATACGGATAAGGTGCTGCAATTAGAGGGAAAAGGAAATAGATAATGGTTAGCTCTAGGTTTTGAAACAAATACAGCAACGACTTATAATGGAAATCTACAAATCTTGGTGCCTTAGCACTTAAAATATTTGGCATCCAGACGTGCAGATATTCAGACGATTTGTAATGTCAAAGTTCGTGCCTTTAGGTCCACATTTGGTCTACAGCATAACTTCTGATTAATTCAAGTAATGTCGAACATAGTCTGCAAATGGGGGAATCCGGGTATTCAGTATACGAGTATACGTAAATCTACTTATCCTCACAGACTGACTGCACTAATCAAATTATCGCTGAACCCAATACGCAGCAGCTTAAGAGCTGAAACATTTTGGGGTGCATAAAATTCAACCCACAAATGGGGGAAACGTGGACATGAAATTATAATTTAATGTTCAATTGATTTTGATTTCGTGATTGAGTGATTTTGATTTATTCCGTGTTTAGCAAAATGATTTAAATAACCGATAGATGTGGATTTATAATAGAAAAGGAATAGTCTGAGGATTTTATTCTCCTTTCTGTTTGTACTAGTTAAAAGGTCATGCTTAGGACTTTGAATTCATTCCTAACTATGAGTTAATTATTTGCTGCACATGCCCCTTATAGCCCCTTTTTGGTGCAGCCTATGGGATGCAACTAAAAGTTTTAACTCTATCACTAATTACTACAATTAGCACCTCAGGCAGCTGTGAAATTATTGCAGTTCAGTTTTAAGCGCGTCGCTATTTTTACACTAAAAATAAACTCGCTAAGCAAATATTTAAACATGTTTTTTTAGCATTTGGAAAATGCCACACAATGGAGGGTATTACGTTTTTTTTATTATTATTATTTTGTGTTGTGTTTTATTTGTGTTGTATTTTGTTAGTAATTGTTGTTAAAAGGCAGTTAAAGATGCAACTATCAAAGTCATTAACTATTAAATGGCTTAATGCAAAGGGCAATTATGGCCGAGAGTGGTAATTTTTTTTTATTATTTATTTATTTAATGCTGGGCTATTAGGTTACTATTGTTGTGTGCTGCGCAGTTTTGAAGCCTCCGTTGTGTGCGAGGGAAGGGAAATCTATTGACTAAGGTATTTATTTGAAAATGTCAAAGCACTCAACCCATCCATATGGCGTAATTCTGTTTATTTAACGCTCATTAGATACTGGGTCGAGACATTTTTGCGGAAGTTGTCACAAAAATGTTTGCCGCCTTTCTTTAAAAGTCCAAGAATAATTGTTTACTTTCTCTGAGGCATTGGTTTCTACTTGTATTGTGCTTAAAAACTTAAACAAAGAAGTGAAAAAGAATGACACTCTTTCGCGCTGACGCAAAAGTTCGAAATTTTACAATGAAAATTAAGAGAATTTTATATTTGTGCTAGCTTAATGATTTCAAATAACATTGCTGACAACACAGGGCATATATGAGAGGCACAGCTCTACTGATGTGGTGACTAATTAATAATGAAAATTTTTCAAATGTAAATATTTTTAATTAAATCAAAACAATAAGAGATTAATTGTTGTTAGTATTAATTATTAATTTGGACAACTAACTTAATAGACAAATGAAATGCTGCCAAAAGGAATAAAAATTGAAAGAAAATTACCATTAATCTATTTTCTATATTATAGTAGTGGAACGGAAGAAAAATTCTTTATCAAAGACATATTTATTTATATAACTAACTGTTAAAGATTCTTTGGTCAAAAAATCGGAAACACACCTTTTAATTTCTAAGATTTAATTAAATTAAGAATTTAAAGATTAAGAAATACAAATTTATAATTTTATTTTTTCCACAAATGTCTTATTTTCGAAATGTACTTTACAGGCGATTGTCTAATTTGTATAATAAATATATCTTTGATTATCTTATCTTGTATACACGTGTAGTGTGGAATAGCCTATTTTAAGCTTTCTTATCATTGCAACATTTTTTAGCAAAGTGGGCACGTCGTAGACATCTTCCCTATTCCAAGCCCAGTACATATGTCGTCTATCTGAGATAGACGACTATCTGTTTTTATTCATTTTTTTTTTAATGCAAGTGTCAACTCTTTAGCTTGGAGTCTATTTGATTAATCAAACATCTTATCAACATGGTGGTTTGGTTCCTATTGTTAAACACAACGACTTCTGATTTATATGGTATGTCATCTATAAAATTATAATTCGAAATTGCTTTTCACTCCAGCTAATCACATTCGTGATTTGAAATTAAAGCTAATCGTGATAGCGACATTATCGTTTGAATTAAAATCACATGACTCTTTGGAGTACACTAGTGCTATACTATATGGTATACATAGATTGGTAGAACTTGGACTGTTGACAGTTCTAGTTTGAAGTGGAACGAAAAAATTGTTGACTTTGCATTTTGCATAGTAAATGGCATTATCTATGCTAAAAATACTCGCATATGCACATACTATATGTTTATTGTATTAATGAGAACCTATTGGCCACAATGCAGCTGGCCAGCAGACCACATGTGAGCAAAGCGACCTTGGCTAAATGCAGGTGTCTGCATCTTTGTGTCTCTTTCTGGGCAAACAAGTCTGCGCGACGCTTTCACTTTTTCGATTCGCGACTCAGATTGGCGACTCGGTTGGTGACTCCTTATGTAAATGTCAACCTGCCAGCGACCTATTCAGGCATTCCCAGGCCAAAGCCGAAAACGAAAACTGGAGACTTGAGACTCAAGACAGGTAGTTAGTTAGGCCCTGCCGGCGGCCAATGACATTGCCGTGGAAAATGTTTTCTCTGCGGGCCCCAAACGGGTGAAAAGAAGCGAAGAAAGCGCGCCGACTTTGTTGCGTTCAAAGGCAGCGAAAAGGGCAAACAAAATAAGTGAAGTAAGTAATTGTAATTGTTTTTCTCAGTCCAACGATTCCGACTTCAACTTCGAGGCGTTGCCATTATCATTTAGGTGTGTATTTTTTTTTTCAACTTCAACTTTGAATACATATAGTATATATATATTTTTCTCATTTTTTTGTGTGGCTTGTGCGCCAAGCGATATTAAAGTACGAGTACGTTGATTAAATGCTAAAAAAGGCTTTTGTCGCTTAGTGAATTGCATAAAAGATTCAAAAGGCGTAATGAGGAAGTGTTTGGAAGTGGAGAGAAGGTGCAAAGAAGGTAGGTAGCTGTGTGTGTGTGCAAAATTTTAATTGATTGTCCCAAGTAGGAAATCAATGACGATGACTAGGCGGCGCCTGAGAAAAGTTAAAAGTGTGCCTTTAATAGTTGATGAGCCATGAGGGGTCGGCTAAATGTCTTAAGTAGTCGCCATAACGAAAGATTAGTCAGACAACTCTGTCTTAGGGCTGGAAGCAGCAGTCAGCAATAAATATATATTTTAGAAAATATACTATACTATTATACGATATAGAAATAAAAAAAATATTCCACAATTATTGTTAACTTGTTCAATTAGTAGCACAAGTAGCTTACCAAATATCTAAGTAAACATTTAATTTGTCATTTCTATTTAAAAGACCAGCCCACAATTATTTACAAATCTGCCAAGTCAGCCCAAAAAAAAAAAAAAAAAAAATCCCAGCTTTCATGCTTCAACAGTTCTAAGAAAAATCTGTTTATTTTAATAACCAACAATTAAATAATTTGTGTTCCAAAATTAACGCTATGGTAGCAAATAAATTTGTAAGCGCCCTCTGTTTTTTTGTTCAGAATCTATATGTTTATTTTTAGTTCGGATCTCGGCATGTCGAATCGAATTAAAATAGCGACAATGAGTCTGAGCCCCACAAGTCGACCTACGTTAAATGAATATATACTACTATATTTATCTAGCTATATAGGTAGCTCAGACAGGGGAAAAATTGTGACAAGTCATTTATCAAAACTCATTTTTAAACATACTACACATATTTATAACAGCTACGTTTTTTGGCTGCCGCTGGCAAATGTTTCCCAGGCTCTAACAACAAGCTGCTTACGAAGTGCAAAGCCGCAACAACAACAAAAAAAAAAAAAAAACAAAAAACAACAACTACAGGAGGGGAGCTTGTGTTTATTTAAACTCAAAAGTCTAGTCGAGCCACCACTTGAGCATTAAATCAGCAGCCATAACAACAACAACAGCACGCAAAGTTCTCAATAAGCAAACTAAACTACATCAAAATCAAGAAGAAGAAGAAGAAGAGAGTAAAGAAAGCTGTAACGAAACTTTGGTACTCTTTACAATATCGATTGAAGGTCGTAGAGTTTGCTGGATTGAAAACTTATTTCTATTCAAAATTTTGCAACATAAATAAAGAGAAAGAGAGGAAAGGGTATAAGGTCTTCATCAGGGTCTATAAGCCACGTTAAAACAAACGTTATTATAAGGAAAATGAAGTAAATCGGAAGCGTTCAGAAGTAAAGAGTCTGCACTGCGTCTCACAAGTTTACGACATTTTCGAACCAACGCAATATCTCTTGAGTAACCATCCAAAGTAGTCAAGTTCCTTTGAAATCGGCGCTCATTAATAAACAGTATTAACAGAAAAGATGCATTTAATAGGGAAGCTTTCATTTTCTGATACTTAATCGTATTTTTAGTAAGTTCGAAGTTGAAAACTAATAGAAAAATAATCATTATAAATAACAATGATAAACTCAAATAATGTATAACATACAAGTATATCTATAAGATTACATTTTTAAATAAATTGAAAAAAAATAGTCAACTTGTAACTCCCAACCAACTGCTAACAAATTAAGCATTCACTAGAACTAGAATTTGCGAAGAAAGCAATTATTTGCGCGAATAATTAAAAGATAGCAATTGTTATTTAATATAAATAGAATAGAATTAATTATTTTTTAATTATCTGCAAACAGACTAATAATAAATTGATAAGAATATATCATTTTCGCACGTCAGCATGATACGAAATTGAGAGTGTGCTTTTTTGTAAAACGGGGGGAATACATCGCTTGGCAGTGTTTTATTTTGAATTTCTATTTATAAGC